AGACAAGCAATTTCATAGCTTTAGACTGAAAATTACACAGGAAAGCATAATCTCAATGATTTGCTGGTCAGATAAGAAGTTCGGTTGTCCACAACACACGGATCCTCTCACCAATAGATTCAATACCAAAGCTGAGTCAATTAAAAAGAAACCAAAACTGTGGTTTTTTTAAGAATAACTGGAAAAAAAAAACCCACCACGACTGTATTTTTTTGTTTGTTTGTTTTTTTGCTTAAAATTGTAACCAGGATTTATTTATTTTAGAATAAAATATTATGTAAAATACACTTTGGKCTGATTCTAGTATATGTAACTATAAAGTTCCACATGCTTTAACAGGGTGGGGTGTTTTTAGATCCAGAGTCTGGCTATCAGGGTTCTGGGAGGGTATTTTTAATTTGGTGACTGTCCTTGGGCAAGTCACAAATTCTCTCCTCTTTCTGGAAAACTAGTGCCAAAATAAATGTCCATCCCACAGGGGTGTTACAGATCTGAATTACACTGATTTTTCTACTGTATCCAAAGAACTTAAAAGGAGTTTTTAAGTCTGACCAGTGTAAAGTAGGAAATAAATGCAATTATTCACAGGAAATGCAAGGAGCACATGTTTACGACAGGAAGAAAAAGTTGCACGGATATACATCAGACACCCCAGAACTTCATCATCCCCCAGTGAATCAGAATCAGAGAGGACTGAATGAAGGACACAAAGATGATCAAAGGGCTGGGGAACCTCTCCTATGGGGAAAAGTTGAAGGAATATAAATACGATTTTTTACAGTGATAACCATCATTGGGCATTGTGGCTGCCCCTGGATCCCTGGAAGAGTCCAAGGCCAGGTTAGACAGGGATTGGAGCAACCTGAGATGGTGGAAGATGTCTCTGTCCATGGCAGGGGGTTGCAACAAGATAATCTTTAAATTATTTTCCAAYCTAAACCATTCAGTGATTCTGTGGCTTATTGGAATGACCTCCCMAGGACATGCTAGAGTCTCCATCATTGAAGGTTTTCAAAACACAGTTGGTCAGGATGCTAGATRATGTCCCTTTCCACAAAAGGCTGGACCAGATGACCTTTGAGTCCGCTTCCAATCTGCTCTGCTTTATGAGTTTATGGTTATTCAGTCCAAATTACTTCAAATAACACTTAGAAGGTATCTGTCAGCAGGAAGAAAATACGTCTGCAGGCTCTAGACTAAAACTTAAAAGACTTGTTTTGTTTCTCAGATTTTGTGTATTACTCACTTAATGGGTCAATCACTCTTTGCTCTCTTTGGAAAAGACATTGGTGAGCTCCAGTGGAAGATGTCCCTGCCCTTGGCAAGGGAAGGAATGAGGTGACCTTTAAGGTCCCTTCCAACCCAAACCATCTTAAAATTTTGTGGTTCTGTGATGACACTGGAGACAACAGAAGTGGGGAGAGCTGGATCTTCTACCAGCTCCAGGTCCTCARCTGCATTTCCACCAAGGGAAGACAACGAACTTCAATGTCTCTGAGAGCCATCACAGATTGCAGATGTGAGGAACTGTGAAAGCAGAGTCCTGGGAACACTGCAGAAAACCAGAGATTGGCTGAGCCTTCAACTAAACAAGGATTGTATCAGCTGCCCCTCACGGAGCTGGGTTTTAACTTTCTTTGACAGAAGAATTGGTTCAATACAAAAACTGTTCACTTATCCTTGATTCCTCAACAAGACACTCCTGTTTATAGCTAATTTTGCCGTGCAGCTTATGATTCTGGTATTTCCTGTATCATGGAACCATTTAGTGCTCCAGGCCTGGCCCTAAGCTCTTTTGTAAGAGGTTTGCTCTAGACATGAGTTTTAGGAGAAAAACATTTTGTCATCCAAAAATGGCAGCTCAAAGAGATTAAAATAATTACAAATTCATGTCAAACTCATTAAATTGTTTTGGATAATTYGAAAAATGGTACTTTGAAAGTTCCTCATAAATTATTTAGGGAGGAGGGTGTTGGAAAACATTTAATTTTAAACTTGTGAAGCATTATACTTAAAAGACAAAAAAAAAGAGTAAAAAGAACTCTCATATTAAAAAGTAATTATGCTTTGTTGGACTCAAACCCACTTTTGTTGTTACTCCTTTTTTCTTGCAGTAGAAATAATAATAGCAACAAAAATCTTGGATCTGCTTCCTCCTRTTTTGTTCTTTTTTTTCTGAATTCTGTGTTTCATCCAGAAAAYGAAAACTTCTTTTTGAAGTGAGCTATTCTGCTTCTTCAGAAAGTCACAATAAAAATCTTGGTCTATGAGCAAGAGAAAACTCAGCTGATAAAAGTTCGGGAAGAATATAGGGGAAAAAATATTGTGTACAAAAATAACAAATTCTATAAATTCTATACCAATTTCATCTTCAGTAAAAGACATCATGTGACTCCAGGAGCATTAATATCATTCTGAAGGATCCTCTGCGCCCCAGTTATGGCTCTCACTGCCCCTTCCCTGTGATATTCCTCATTCTCGTACAACATCTCCATGATTTTGCATCCCTAAAGTCTACTGAGTGTTTTGGTTTGCTCCCCGTGGAGTAACCAGAATATCTAGAAATGGCTGAGGGACAGTAATTTCAATCTGATTGGCCAAACTGGAAGCTTGAAGTGAACATAAATATTTAGTGTATGATGGAATCATACAATCATAGAGTGGTTTKRGTTGGAAGGGACTTTAAAATKAATTTAATTCCAATGCCCCTTGCAAGCCATTTTGTGATTTTATAATTCTATGACAACACCACCAACTTCACTGGCCTTGAAGCATTGTCATGCCAAGGGGGAATCTGGCCCTGCAGAATCATTAAGGTTGGAAAGGCCTCCAAGATCATTGAGTTCAGGCTGAATGAATCCCACCATACCCACTAAACCATATCACAAAGTGCCACATCTACTTGGGTTTTTTAATGCTTCCAGACATGGTGACTTTGCCCTGGGCAGCCTGTTCCAAATGGTTCCAATGGTCCAAGGTTCCTGACCACCCTTTCTGGGAAGAAATTTTTCCTAGTATCCACCCCAAGTGCAACTTGAGGCCATTTCCCTTGATCTGTCACTCGTTTCCTGGGAGAAGAGGCCGATCCCTCCTTTCAGGGAGTTATGGAGAATCTCCCTGAGCCTTCTTTTCTCCAGACTAAAGAACATCAACTCTGTCAGCTGCTCCTCTTAGGATTTATATTCCAGATGCTTCCCCAGCTCTTTTCCCTTCTCTGGAGCTGTTTCAGACCCTCAATTGTCTTTATTACATTGAGAAGTTCAAAACTGAACACAGGACTCGAGGTTTGGCCTCACCAGTGCCCAGCACAAGGGGAAGATCATTGCCCTGCTCCTGCTGGCAGAAGATCAGTGGGAGCAGGAAAGTTGAGCTTTTTCTCCAATTTGTCTGTCCTGGGAGCCAGCACTGCACTGTGAAAAATACTCATGCTACAACTTTCAGGAAGGAGAAGGAGGAGGGAGAGAAGGGAAGAAGACAAGCATGAATTCACCTTATCATCAAGCTGTGCCTTTCTAAATGTCAACCTTGAGACAAAAGGAACTACAGGTCAGAACAAGAAATGCAGAGGAATTTAACACACCTTTGTGAAGGGAAGGGGGAAAAATATCCCCTTTCAGATTTGGGCAGCAAAAAAAGCTACAGCAATTTTGTCATAGCCTCAGAGGCAGACAGCATTTACCATATGCTGTTGCCTCCATTATATAAGGAGATAAACCCCGTGAAGKTTGCACTCACAGTGCACTTGAGATGGTGGGGATTCCTCTTACACATCTGACTGTGTGCTAGGATGTGCTAAAAATGGTGGGAATCTGAATAAAATCCAGGTTTTGTATGCAAAAATATTCATTAATATGCAGGTACTAAGTGGTAATAGTGCCAGAGCATTAGTGCTTGGATGTGATTCATAATTAGGGTAGAAAAGGTACAGTAAAAATCAGTGTTTGCATCTAGACAACACATTAATCAACCCTGTAAGCAGCCAGCYAGAGAGGGATCCTTGGAGGAAAAACCTTACACATTTTGTTTAAAGATTAAAGTTCTTCCTGTGTTTAATCAGTTTTACAGTGTGAAGGAAAACAGGATTAATTACAGYCCTTCCCATCAGTCCCCCATACTGGAAGAGCCAGAAACAAGGCATCTCTACAGCAAAATGGCCACCATCAGCAGCAGGCACAGGGAATTTTAATTGTGATTAAAGAGTTTATTTGGAATCAGGGAGCTGGGTTTTAATCAGGGTGAGAATGGAGCCTAGCTGTGGGAGCCTTCAGAAAGTGGTAGCTGAGCAGAATGGGCCGGTTTTAAACAGAGAGGGATYGTCAAACTTCTGGAGTGACTTTTCAGCTTGATTATCTCCTCAGTGTGATATGGATAAAAATCCTTGTGGGGCCAGTTGTTGGTATTATTTTGCAGTTGGGTGGTGTTTTCATGTCATGTGTCCCTTAATGCTCTCAGAGGATTTGGCAAGGGGCAGATAGAATCTTCAARTCACTGAATGGTTTGGGTTGGAAGGGATCTTGAAAATCATTTTGTTCCAGCCACTGTCYCAGGTGTCTCCAAGTTGCATCCAGCTTGGTCTAGAACACTTCCAAGGATGGGGCATCTACAGCTTTTTGGGCAGCTTCTGCCAGGGCCTCCCATCCCTCAGAGGGAAGAATTCTCTCTAACCAATTGAGTGTATCAGACCTGAAAGGGCTGAGGATGAGGCTGAAATGATCCTGCAGGAAAGCAGAGCAGCACTGGAGCCCACAGAGCTGCACTTGAGTCACCCCAGACTTCTGCAGCACAATTCACTAATTCATCCTGGAAAAGAATCACCAGACTGAGACCACCACCATCACCTCAACCTCAGCTGCAGATCTCAGTGAAACCCTGGGGTAAAAGTCACGTCTCACGGCTCAAATATCAGCACGACTTTGCAAACAGATCTTGGTGAAAGTCACATCTCACAGCTCAAATATCAGCACAACTTTGCAAACACTCTTGTCAGTGCAGGCACTTACCAGCTTCTGAGTAGAACTGTGTCCATTCAAATTCTGACTTTGGGAAAACAGAGACAGGCGGTTCCAGGTCCAGGACGCCTCCATCCAAATCCTTAAAAAGGGCTTTCTTTGAGCCTTTGCATCTCTTTTCTGGGAATGTGGTCTCTTCAGAGGTTTGTACACTGATAGGTAGGGAAGGAAATGTTATGATTAATGGCTTGGCACARCCAGAAAAGCCTAAAAATTTCCATGTAGATCATTAAAGACTGGCTGCCAGAGAGGAAGGTACCTGCAGCARAACAGGTTTGTCGAGGGGAACTCAACTCACCTGAGACAAATACAGGACAGTTGAGATGAATAATTTCCTAAACAAGGATCTATACTGACTGCAGGAGTCTTTTTAAATCACTTGCCCTTATTTTTGGATCACTAAAGTGAAGTGAGCTGAATTGCTTTTAATTGCAGATTGGCTAAAGGTACAACACAGCTTAAAGGAACAGGTCAACAGAGCATCTCACCGCCATGACAGAATTCAATAAGATAAAAAGGCTTGTACTCCAGAGAAGTCTTTGAGACAATTTCAGATTACTACATGGATTCACAGTGAAGAAAATCTAGCATTTCTTGGTCTCAGGTTGGGAAAACACAAATACTGGTACCCTGAATGGGGCAAATAGCAGAGGAAGAAAAAGGCCGACTTCCCAGTCAACCCAGTTTAAAAGAGRTGGAGAACAAAGACTTCCTCTGATCCTGACATTTCAGTTCTTGACCATCTCTCAGCAGATCCAGCATTTCTGCTGGTTAGGTTTACCAGTGGGAAAAGCAAAGTGCTTCATGGATTTGCTGTATTCCCTGAGGTTTCTATTTCCTCCCTTGCTCCWAGGCAATGCTCATCTTCTCTTTGACAGGACAGATCCATCAAGGCATCCCTTCAGGATGATGAAGCAGAACAATGCAGCCACAGCCTGGATCAAGCTCAGCAGCTGCAAAGGTGGATTCAATAAATACATGCAGATATTGCATGAAGAGCACTGGGAGATGCAATCACCCTCAGAGGCTCACCAGCCTCCCAAGGAAGGATTCACTAATCCATGGGCATCCCTCACGTTTGAAATCCACCAGTTCTTGCATTGGATTTGGCAGCTCACTACCAGCAGAATATTGTGGGATGGATACGAGAGTGAAACATAATGGGAGCTGACAAGCTGGACAGGGCTCAGAAATCTACACGCAAACTAGTGCCCAGAGCAAGAAGCAAAAATATAGAATAAAATAAGAAATTCTGGCAGAAGGCTGCAGGGGCTCTAAACATAGAAGTGTGGGACACCTCCAATTATTTTTGACTGGCAAGTGGAGTCCATGCTGGAATTTTTTTTTGCTACTTCAAGGCTTTCCTGACATAGCCTCTGTATTGTGCTCAGTGAGTGCAATAAATAAATAGGCATGTGGTTTCCATTGGATGTGGTATGTTTAAACCACTGCAGCCAGCAGTGACTTAAGGTTACAGATGAAGTTCTCCCCTCCCTCCTCAACACTCACAGAYRATATTCTCCCTGGGCAGGAGCAGTWCTGGCAATCATTTGACATCTCACAGCCTGCCTGGTACTGATCAACATTTCTGATGTGATCTCGCAGGCACAAATCAAGCCACGCTTCCCMGACCAAAAGGACATTCCCTGTCTCAGGGTTTTTTCCTGGAGGTCCTGACATTTTCTGAAGCCTGAGGCTGAGAAGTCAGAGATGCTCAGGATGKGGGTTTAAGAAATGGGATATGTGAKGCTTGTTTTGCTACACAAATGTCAGGAAAAGGAGAAATCCAAGAGGATTGGTCTGGAGATGCACCTTGAYGGGGTTTGAAACTCAAATTATAAAAGATTRCCCTAAACTRAATTTGGTGGTGTTTTTCCAYTTCTTTTTCTTTTTTCTTTTTCTGTATCTGAGTTCTTCTGTGCATGCTTGTTTGATGTCTGAGCTTGCTCATTTTTGTCAGACAGGAGCAGTACAAGAGCAGAGATGAGGAGAGGTTAATTCCAAAGCTGTAGGTGTTTGGTTGGAGTGTTTTTTACAYAAAATATTGAAAAAAGACAGTTCARAATGAAGTGTTTTACCTTGTTGGATGAAAGTAGAACTTGTCCTTCTCACTGACATGTAACATCCTTGATGTCTGTGCTGTGATGAGAGGCATGATGCCTAAATGATCAGCATTTGACATGATACAGACATCCCTGTCTTCACTGTAGCAGCTCTTTGTAAAACCAGTAAAGGTGACTTCTGCCAGGGATTAAGAGAAGATCAAGCAAGGAAAAGTAGTTAAAAGAGTGCCATAACTAGAGATAGGAAAGCTTTTTTCCCCTACAATGTTTTCCATATAAAATTTCTCCCAAATATACCCATAAAAATTATTTTTACATCACACCCATAGCATTGTTAATAGATCTTCATGAGGTTTCAGAATTCTCTGTAGTCAAGTTATATCCTAAATTGACATAAACCAACTCATGCCCATAGGAAATGAAATCAAAGCAAATAGTAACTGAGAAAAAAAAAATAAAAGCAAGAGTATTTAACACATTGTCATTTGAATAAGTAAGAACGAGTTTATTAACAACCTGCCCTGGATGGTTTATCCACTTGCCAGAGATTAATACAAGACAAGCTGAGTGTGATGACACATGCTTGGCTTTGGTACTCAACTCTTTTGCAGCTCCAAATCCATATTTTTCCACAATTTTTTTTGTAAGATTCTGAACAAGTCTATTTGTCTTTCTCTATTTATCTTATTCTTCAGTAAAAAAGGGGATAAGGGATTTTCTTACAAAAATAAGTAGCAGTGAGGAATAAAGACATGAAAAGCAGCACAATATTTAGATCCTACCACTGTAACCAGCTATTAAGTATTTCCTTTACGTAAACATTGCTCTGGAGAGTGATAAATTCATTTGAAACAAAGATCCAGGATACATTACAAACTTCTATCCTTGTGCAATCCCTTATACCAATAAAATCCATAACTGCTTCTGTGATGTGTAGTTATGTTCCATATTATTAATTCTATACAAAGTCTATTCTTATATTCAATTCTCAGATTTCGTATCTTTGTTTAGACAGAGGTAACTGTGGATTGGAGAGATGAATCAATTGGAAAAGGAGCACACAAGGCAGCTGTGTGTGAGGTAGAATCTGTACGTTATCATGGAGCATAATAATCATCAAATCATAGAACCCAAGGTTSGTTTGGGTTGGAAGGGACCYTAAAAAWCATCTCATTCCTCCCCCTGCCATGGGCAGGGACACCTTCCACYATCCCAGGKTGCTCCAAGCCCCATCCAGCCTGGCCTTGGACACTTCCAGGGATCCAGGGGCAGCCACAGCACATCTAGCTTCTCTGGGCAGCAATTATCCTGGAGTAGACTCAGGAAGTGAAAAATATAATTTTTTTTTTATTAATTAAACTGTATCAAGTTGTAGAAGAATTCTGTTCTCACTTTCACTGAGGCTCTGATTTCTCCGCCATGTCCTTTTGTGTGAGGCTGCAACTTCACTTGAAAAAATGAAATTAGTGAAAATAAACAGTGACAGAACAGTCTAGCCAGTGGAAGCAGAATACCAACCTTTCAGCTTCATGATTCCCAGGGCTTTTGGACAATGCCCAGTTTTGTGCCAGGGGTCCTCTGGCCTTTGGCTGGTAATGGTGGTAAATGTGGGCCATAAAATCCCAACACGGCCTCTGAGATGGTAGCGTGGGGATCGGTCCTGGGCTGTTGGCTCAGCTGAGCGAGGCTTAATCCTGTCTCTGAGGCAGTCAAAAGTCGAGCTTGTGCCAACAATGATGGAGTTTTTAAGTTCAATGAATTGTTTCCCCGTGTGGCACCGCTCAGCATTGACACAGTGCACCACTGCCAGGAGCCCCACGGTGTTGTCCACCAGCATCACGTTTTCCACGATAATGCTGCCTCCAAGGCGGAGCATGACACCATAGTCATAATTTTTATAGGAGAGAAACCCTGTGACTCTGCTGCAAGTCTGAAATCCATCTTCATGGTACAGATGAACACCATGAAGGCTCGAATGGGCCACATTTCCACTGCAATATTCTCCATCTAGAGAACATTCCTGGCCCCTGATGTTGAAGCCGATTCTCTCAGATCCTGCCACAGCATTGCTGTRAAGGGAGACGCCAGTGGCCAGGTTCACCTTGATGCCAGAAACCCAGTTTGATAAATCTGCTGGCTGTCTGCTCAGAATAACAAGGTTCCTGATCAGAGAGTGATTTTTCCCTTCCAAATCAATGCCGGGTCCAGTGGTGTTAAACACCACATTCTTGTGCAACAAGATCCTGCTGCTCACGACTGCTTTAATACCGGCTCCACAGCTGCCACTAATGCTGGATGAYGCCACCAAGGACTCCTGGGATACATTCCTGAATTCAATGGCAGAAAACTGAGGAGCCCCAAAGTTCAAAAACTGAACRTTTAAGAGCTGAAGAGCACCTGCAATGAGATACATCGAGTGAAATAAAAGCTTATATTACTTAAGAAATGGTAAGGACAACAATGTAAACAGCACTCAGACAAAAAATAGCAGGTGCTTTGTCAGTGTGTTGTAGTAATGGGTGTTTGCTCATAAATATATATAAAGTCATAAAAAACCCCAACTGAACACAGAGCAGCCCCTCCTAAAATATCTTCCACATTTATGGATGTTTAGTAATGTTAATGTTTAGTACTTGCTGACAGTCCGTTTGTTCTGACTTTCATAGCCCACGTGATGGATGCACATGTTGCTGCACGTCTTTCTTGGGCAGAACTGATGAGGACAGGAATTTCAACTACCTTCAAACTCYTTCCCAGTGGAGCCTGTGAAGCGTCCCACCAGCACCCTCCCAGCACAAGCCACGTCYGCCTGGATCCGCACGTTCCGTGTCAGGAGCCCAACCTCCGCAGCCAAAGGGACGCGTCTGCCATCTTCCGTGTCATGGGGCCGCCCTGGGGAGTTTGAACAAAGCAAATGTGATAAGTGTCTATCATGCCTATAAACCACTGCTTTGAGGGACATAAATCCTGACAGCTCCTCCGCGGAATCTGCACTGACATTCAGGTGTGTTTCACCCCCAGCACAATCCATGTGCATCAACACAAAAGCAGAAAGGCCACCTGCCCATCAAATATTCACCTCACGCTTATATTTTACCAAGATATCTCATTTTTAGAACAAGAAGGTGCTAAACCTTTTCCCTGCGGTGTGCAGGTGCCAAAGCAATGAACAGGTTCACACCTCATTTTTTTCCAAGCTCTGTGTGCTGTAGTTACTCTTCAGCACAGTGCASAGTTGATCTCCATGAATTTTCCTCAGGATCAGACTAATGTCAATGCCAAAAACCTGTTTGCTGCAGAGTCTTGCTTGTGTGTGTTCTCTAAAAGGATTTTAAAACTTTTTTTCAATGTCTTTCTAAATGAAACTTTTGCACAAGTTTATGCAGCTGTCTAGCTTGGATTAATCTCAGGTGACTTCAGACATCTGCAGATGTGATTTAGTTATCCAGACTGTTTTTATGCATGATGGAGAGCAACAGGCAATTCTCCAGTGCAATTTGTATTTCATCTGCTCTTAAAGAAGGTATATAAAATACACCTGCTTTAGGGACAGACGAAATACAAGTGAGAAGTGTGTATTGTATGTATTTTTCTGCTTTAATTATCAAGGGAGCTGAGAGTAACTGGCTTGTGTGAACATTTGCTGCCAATATGTACATTTTCTCCAGGTGAAATCCAGTATTTACCTCTTAATTTTCCCATCAGACCTTTTTTTTTTTTCAGCTGTATCTAACAAGTGCTGCATTACTCAGGGTATAAATAATAATTTCACCTCATGATACATTTATTTATACCTACATCAGCAAAAAAAATATTTTAAGAAAAATTCTCTGGCTAGAAGACTGACTGGTAGGTTTTGCCCTTCTCCGTCCCCCCAAAAAAAAAAAATAGGCCTAAAATGCATAAACTGCACATTTTGTCTGAAAAATGTAATTGTCATATAAAACTGTGTGAGTGAAGGCAACTGTTGATTAACACTGGATAACTGAAGAACAGAGCTCAATTCCAAGTGAAGCTTTGGTTACTGGCACAGCCATTTAAATATTCATCATTAAAAATGATATTTCTATATCTTTTTATTCATTATACTCATTTCTGTGCTGCTGGCGGGAATAAAGATCAAATTTTTTTAAAAATTGATATTCAGGAGAAAAATCCTCAGTTTGAAGGTCCAGAATTTGACCTCTTAATAAAATCCTTTTGTTTTTGTTAGATAGATAATAGGTAATAAATTTACTTTATAGGCTTTTAAAAAATGTAAATAAGTAATCAACATTGCATCCTTTTCACCACATATACATAGATCCCATTCAATCTATGCAGAAAATAAGCTATATGCAGTTTTTTGTTTATTTACATATTAGTTTATGAATACATGTGTTTCATGCCATTGAATTGATAAAATTTTGCACTTTAAACTTCACAAATATAATTGTTTAGAAATTTGAAAAAARGGGTGGGGCTTAATTCTTTTCCAGGTTTTTGACATACCGTAGAAATTGTGCAAAGGGCCTAAAATCCTACATTTCTTTTTTSCTTTCAAATTTCAGTTACTTTCTCTCTGTGAACCAGTTCAACTTGAAACACCAGAAAGCTTTCCCAAACGATGCAGCACCAAATTAATCCTATTCACAGAAATTATTGTTAGAATCAGCAAGAACAAAAATAT